CTGTCAACACAAGACACACCTTTTTAATGTCTTGCCCCAGTGGCAGCCTACACACACACACACACACACACACACACACACACACACACACACACACACACACACACACACACACACACACACACAATTAAGGTGAGTACATACACAGATGCAGTCTCACATGGCTGTGAACAAACAATTCATCTCAGCAAGACATTTGAACAATAGTAAAGAAGATCATCTCAGTGGCAAGAGAGATTCAGCATCTTCACCAAACTCAATTCATCTCAAGTGACACGAGCTGCAGTATCTACACCAGACTCAACAAACTCATCTCAGCAACACGATAGATGCTGCACCTACACCAGGCTCAAACTCATCTCAGCGACACGAGAGATGCAGCGTCTATACCAGACTCAACAAACATGTGTAACATAGGTACTGCTCGTGATACTGTATTAAAACTAACATCTACCAATCACAGTCTCACGAACTAAACAAAAGAACTACTGATTCAACAAACAGCTACTCAACAAACAGCTACTCAACAAACAGCTACTCAACAAACAGCTAACTCAACAGCTACTCAACGAACAGCTAACTCAACAGCTACCCAGCACATGCTTACAAAGGCACAAAAACTCTGAATATTCCTGGATGACAAAAGCGAGCCACGCCTCCGTGGTTACTTCACACGACATTACCCACTAGTGGCTCCTGGGTGAACCTAGGCCCTGGGTGAGCCTAGGCCCTGGGTGAGCCTAACTCCTGGGTGAGCCTAGCCCCTGGGTGAGCTTAACCCTTGGGTGAGCTTATCGCCTGGGTGAGCCTAGTTCCTGGGTGAGCCTAGTTCCTGGGTGAGCCTAGCCCTTGAGTGAACCTAGTCCCTGGGTGAGCTTATCACCTGGGTGAGCCTAGTCCCTGGGTGAGCCTAGCTCCTGAGTGATCCGACCTTCTTCCACACCCATCCACCTACTGGCTCCTGGATACAACCTCCAGCGGGTACTAACACTGACCAGGATACAACTTCCAGCAGGTACTGACACTGACCATGATACAACCTCCAGCAGGTACTAACACTGACCATGATACAACCTCCAGCAGGTACTAACACTGACCATGATACAACCTCCAGCAGGTACTAATAATGACCATGATACAACCCAAAGCATCTTTTTCCTGGTAATCTACAGGTCACTTACAGAAGGGAAGTAGCACACAGGTACCTAGTTTTACTACTAGGTGAACTCTAGTAGTGAGATAGGAAAAAGAGGGAGAACAAGGGAATAGAGAAAGAGAGAGAGAGTGAGAGAGAATCTTAGTGGTTAACATGATTAAATTCCAGACAGCTACTCTTCACCCCCTCCTTCCTCCCTCTCCCCCTGTCACACCTGCACACACATACACACACTACCCCCCCACCACCTGCTTAATATCCCCACCCCCCTCAACCTCCCATCATCCTCAATCTCTCCATCACCATCACCACCACCTCACCATCACTCACCCTCACCACCACCTACATAATACTACCAACACTTACTTCTATACTCCTCTTCGTCTCCAACTCTTCACTTACACATTTACCTAAACTCCCCAACATACTCTCCCTTTGACTCCCCATCTAATACCCCCTGCAAATTCACTACTTCCCCTTCCTTCTCATTCCCTCCTGCCCTCCCCCTTCCCATGTTTCTCCTTGCTTTATTACTGGCTCTTTGTCTCTCATCACCCCTTCGCTCTACCCTCACCCTTTCGCTCTACCCTCACCCCTTGCCTCTCCCCTGCACCTTGCCTCTCCCCTGCACCTCGCCTCTGCCCTGCACCTTGCCTCTGCCCTGCACCTTGCCTCTCCCCTGTACCTTGCCTCTCCCCTGCACCTTGCCTCTGCCCTGCACCTTGCCTCTCCCCTGCACCTTGCCTCTCCCCTGCACCTTGCCTCTCCCCTGCACCTTGCCTCTCCCCTGCACCTTGCAGTATGGAGTCATCATGATTACCTGTCGCTTGTTGTTGTGTGCACCACGTTCTCTCTCTCTCTCTCTCTCTCTCTCTCTCTCTCTCTTCTCTCTTCTCTCTCTCTCTCTCTCTCTCTTCTCTTATCCAGCACTATCATATAGGAACCTCCACTTCCAAACCCTCCCTCCCTCCATAACCTCACAATGACTTCATCTCTCCCCCATCCACACCCTCCACCCACACCCCTCCCCCACCCACGTCTGGGCACTGGGTTGTTCATAAGAACATAAGAAGGAGCACTGCAGGAGGCCTGCTGGCCCATGTTAGTTAATCATGGGTATCATCCGGGCACGGGATTACTGATAATGGGTATCATCTAGCCACTGGATTACTGATCATGGGTATCATCTAGCCACTGGATTTCTGGCCACTGGATTACTGATCATGCGTATCATCCTGGCACTGGATTACTGATTATGGGTATCATCTAGCCACTGGATTACTGATCATGGGTATCATCTAGCCACTGGATTACTGGTCATGGGTATCATCTAGCCACTGGATTACTGATCATGGATATCATCCGGGCACTGGATTACTGATCATGGATATCCTGGCACTGGATTACTGATTAAGGGTATCATCCTGGCACTGGATTACTGATCATGGGTATCATCCTGGCACTGGATTACTGATCATGGGTATCATCCTGGCACTGGATTACTGATCATGGGTATCATCTGGCCACTGGATTACTGATCATGGGTATCATCCTGGCACTGGATTACTGATCATGGGTATCATCCTGGCACTGGATTACTGATCATGGGTATCATCCTGGCACTGGATTACTGATCATGGGTATCATCTGGCCACTGGATTACTGATCATGGGTATCATCCGGGCACTGGATTACTGATCATGGGTATCATCCGGGCACTGGATTACTGATCATGGGTATCATCTGGCCACTGGATTACTGATAATGGGTATCATCCTGGCACTGGATTACTGATCATGGGTATCATCTGGCCACTGGATTATTAATCATGGGTATCATCCGGGCACTGGATTACGGATCATGGGTATCATCCGGGCACTGGATTACTGATCATGGGTATCATCTAGCCACTGGATTACTGATCATGGGTATCATCTAGCCACTGGATTTCTGGCCACTGGATTACTGATCATGCGTATCATCCTGGCACTGGATTACTGATTATGGGTATCATCTAGCCACTGGATTACTGATCATGGGTATCATCTAGCCACTGGATTACTGATCATGGGTATCATCTAGCCACTGGATTACTGATCATGGATATCATCCGGGCACTGGATTACTGATCATGGGTATCATCCGGGCACTGGATTACGGATCATGGGTATCATCTGGCCACTGGATTACTGATCATGGGTATCATCCGGGCACTGGATTACGGATCATGGGTATCATCTGGCCACTGGATTACTGATCATGGGTATCATCCGGGCACTGGATTACGGATCATGGGTATCATCTGGCCACTGGATTACTGATCATGGGTATCATCTGGCCACTGGATTACTGATCATGGGTATCATCTGGCTATCATTCCCACCCACACCCCCTCCTTCCCCACCCATACCAAACAGCCCACTATTAAAAAAAATTCGCTTTGAATTAAAAAAAAACATCGAATGGAAATAATAATAATAATAATAATAATAATAATAATAATATTATTATTATTATTATTATTATTATTATTATTATTATTATTATTATAAGTTTAAACTATTTTTCTATATTTTTTCCTAGAACCTTCTCCCCTCCACTATCTCCCCTCACCCTACCCCCTCCCCAGCAAGCACTAACCTCCCCCTCCCCCCGACAGCCAGCATGTCGCGCTGGCACTTGCAAACACCTGCCTTGGAGAACACCTGTGTCTGCTGGGACCCCATGTTAGGTGAGGGTGGGGTAGCCCATGTTAGGTGGGGGGCCTTGTAGGGGTATAGGTGGGGAGGATGATATGGGTTGTGTGGGGGAGGGGAATGGCAAGTGAAGGATGGGAAAGCTGAGTAGAGGCAGGGGAGAGGGAGAATAGAAGGGAAGGAAGGAGGGAGAATAGAGGGATGGGAGGAGAGAGGGAGAATAGAGGGAGGGGAGGAGAGAGGGAGAATACAAGGAGGGGAGGAGAGAGTGAGAATACATGGAGGGGAGAAGAGAGTGAGAATACAGGGAGGGGAGGAGGAGGGGAGGGGGAGAATGCAGGGAGGGAAGAGGAGAGAGGGAGAATACAGGGAGGAGAGGAGAGAGGGAAAATAGAGGGGAAGGAGGAGAGAGGGAGGTGGAGGAGAGAGGGAGAGGAGAGGCAGGGGGGAGGAAAAAGGGAGGGGGAGTGAGGAAGGTGCAGAGCGAGGGGTGGGGGTGATTCACAGGTACCCACACCTTCCTACCCACACCTCGTACAGGTGAGTCAGGTACTCACTAATGTACACACACATATCTCAACATATTATTCACGAGGTACACAAATAACCCGCACATAGGAGAGAGGAGCTGACCACCACGTTTCTGTCCGACTTGGACCATTTACAAAGTCACACTGTGTCACCATTTACAAAGCTACACTGTGTGACTTTGTAAATGATCCAAATCGGACTGAAACGTCGTAGTAAGCTCGGGTTATTTATGTATTGTTCCACTCACGGTATTGTTCCACTCACGGTATTGTTCCACTCACGGTATTGTTCCACTCACGGTATTGTGCCATCTTGTTCTTTATTCACAAAGTAACCTGTAGTGGCAGGGCCTTCAGATTACAAGCGAAATGACAATGGGTTCGATTCCCGAGAGCGGGCGAAAAGTATGGGCAAGTGTCCTCACACCTGCTGCCCTGGTTCACCTGACAGTGTAGGTGGCACCCTATGGAGGAACTCCAGTTGAAACAAGCCACTACTTGGCTGGGTTGGGTTATCCTGCCGCAGGTCACTGACAGGCTTAAGAGCTGTAATCCTGCCTCACCTGAGGTAGATGAGTGGAGCAGATGCGAGTCAGAACGTTGAGTAAAATCTGAGAG